CTTTTTTTTTTTTTTAATACTAAAGTTCACCCAATACAAGGCTCTAAAATGCCACTCAATGTAACGGGGTTACTGTTAAAATGAATAAAATAAGTTAAAATATATATATATATATATATATATATATATATATATATATATAAACACACACATACATACACAACTCCTTTCTATTTTTTTTGTTTTTTTAATATATATATATATATATATATATATATACACACACATACATACAACTCCTTTCTATTTTGTTTTTTTTAATATATATATATATATATATATATATATATATATATATATATATACACACACAACTCCTTTTTATTTTTTGTTGTTTTTAATACATTTTGTATTCTGACAGGTTCTTTGTCCTTCCTCAAAATTATGTTATATCTGATCAGTGACTATTAAACTGTGAGGTACTGGTTGCAGAGAAGAAAAACAAATAAGCAACAATTAAATTTCAAAGACTGGATCGAACATACAATGAAAAGAAGCCAAAGAATACGTCAATCATAAATTATTGCTAGAAGCAACAAAGAAGAATCATTTAAAAAAATATATGAAATAATGAGAATATTTCTTTTACATGTGAACTATTATCCTCAACTTTGTTGTTATCACAACATTTCAGCCTTTGTGCCCTCCAGCCTTCATCAGGTGCATGTCAATCTAGGTAAACTTCAGGTAAATTCAAACAGAACCATTTATTTAATCTACCAGGATAGATTGTTCTCATTCTGCTGTCCATATCCAGGATACTGAGGAGGGTGCTGGAATAGATCTTATTTAGTACTACTCAGTTATTGCTTACCCTAGTTCCTACAGAGTCCAAGTACCTACCACCCAACCCAGAGAGTGAATTTGGAGGAAAACAGGGATTTCCTTGATGGCCTAGAAGTGGTTCCCAAACTTTTTTTTCTCTGAGCTGCATTTTCAGAATGAAAATTTGCCTGTGCCTCATAAAATTTTATGTAATAAAAAGTCTATATAAAAATAAACAGAGAGAAGGTTAAAAGGGAGATAACCGTGGATTTGAAGTCAGAACATTATCATTAATAACTTCAATTTTCAGATCCCAGTTACCATATTGTTAATACTCGATATAATGCAAAAATATCACAATGATGAAATCAGTCAATTATTTATAACTATCTATCCTGGGACTCATGCATGCAATTACAAGTAATCCATAAAAATATTTTAAATTTTGAAATTATTTTTTGGCATATGAATTTTTTGAAACCATTTCTAAATCTTTGATTGTGTTTCAATTATTCTGCCTCACCTATAAGGCATGCTGCACCATTTGGGAACCACTGGCTTAGAGAATGATAAAAGTTGAAGGACAAAAAAAATGGAGCAGAGAAAATGACCAACTAGTTCTCCATTACTATTTCAAAAGTAGCCTTCTTTAAAGTGTAACATGATGCAAAATTAAAACAAACAAAAATTAAAACTTACAATGAGAAATAAAATTACTAAGGAAAACAAAATAAAAATATCTGCATGAAGAAAAGAAAAAATACATAAAATACTATAATAAAAAGAAAAGTAATTATAAAAAAGGAAATAAACCAAAAGATATCTACTAATGATGGCAAACTATAGATTGAATAATGTGGAGAAAAAAAAACAAAGATTTTGCAGTTAATTAAATGGAGTAAACAGGAGAAAAACTAGATCTAAATGTGACAGATCAAACACTTTGGGGATAAGTTATATGAATACACAAATCAATATAATAGAAATATTGAGTAACTGATGAAAATAAGGAATGAATTATAAGAGATCAAAGATAAACTAGAAGGTCAAAACAAGAACCTTAGAAAAACTGCTAAATATAAAACACCATGCTATGATGATTGCTGTTTCAAGTAATTCACAGCCATATACAAAATACCAACATGACAGCTTGAAAATATTTGACAAGAGCAAAAATATTCTTCAATGGATAATAAAAGTACACTATTAATATTGTTTAGGCTGTTGTCCTCAACTTTGTTGCCATATTCACAATTAAAAAAAAAAAAAAAATTAAATTAACTACAGACCAATAACATACTTACCAATAATGAAGAAAATCCTACCTAAATGGATAGATCATCAAAGAAATCTATTATCCATGATAGTGGTATGGAAAGGATGCTATAACAGTAGTAGTAATATTAACCGTTTCCCTACAAGGAAACATTTGGCATACATTGATCAAGCAACCAATTCTGCTTTCAGCTGAAATTTATAAAATCTTTCTCTTAAAACAATTTTTCAGGAAAATAGGTTTCTCAAGTTCATTAAATGTTAATGCTCTTTCCAGTATTGACAGGGGGGTTTCCTTCCTAACCTTTTATTTGAAGTAGTGTGGAATGACATCACCTTTATTATGCCATTATTTTCTCTTTACATGTGATATCCATTTTAGGTGTTACTGCTGTTGATAGTCCTAAAGTGATGTGGTTTCAGTTATTTTGTACAGTTTGTTATTCTGTACTGGCAGTCCACAATGTTCAAAAAAAAAAAAAGGATGGTCCTTATGCACTTCAAGCTTTTTTTTTTTAAATCATTAATCTTAAGACACCATTGTATACAGCTGACAGTTTGCATATTTCTGAATGAGTTTGGCACTATACCTGACATCCATATGACAGTCTTGATCTGATGAGGCTATTTAAGAACATGACTCAAGTTTTCAGGTTAAGGTTTTTTAGCAATTTGCTGTGTTGGGTGAAATTATCTCTGGTGCAGCATATTCTATGTTCAGTTTAATTTTCTCCTATACTAAATCTGTTATAACTGATCAATACACTGAGGTATTTGAAGTGTTTAGTATTTACTAATTCCACATCCTGAATTTTTATGATGGATTCAGAGTAGGTGCCATCACTGCTTTCATTTCAATTTCAGACCATAGTTTCGTAAATGTTTATTTTGAATACTATTTCTAGAAACACTTGGTAGAGGATGTTGATAAAGATACTAGAATAAGTGGTGTACTATTCATCGATTTAAATATATTGAAATAACTAGTAAAACAATCCCTAGTGGAGGTCATAGTAAAAATAGTCATCTTCTTACGAGAATCCTTGTTCTCATTACTATTTATCATAGCTAGGATATTTCTAAAAAATGTAATGGAAAATACAAATCTATTAAAAAAAAAAAAAAAATTACAAGATGAACCAAATAGATGGACTCAAAATTTCAATGAAAAAAAATTCGATGGCACCAATAGTGATTTTCCAAGTGTAGCTTGGATGTGGCATAAAGGGGGCACCTCAAGGTGGTGTAATGGTTAGCCCCCTTTTCAAGAGACCAGAACAGAATTTTAGTAAAAAAAAAGTTAAACTACAGAATAAAGTAGTCTGTCCATTAAGGCAATTATCAAAATGTCCAACAGGAAAGAAACTTAGAAGTATCTCAGTATTTTAGAAGTGGGTTTCATGTGATATGGCCATTCAGACCAGTGATAAATATACACAAATCAGAATCTGTCTCAGAAAATAAAAACAAGTACTTCTCGAACTTCAGGATTCAGATAATTATCCCATTCTAGACCAGATCTAATTATTGTGAACAAGAAGAAAAACCTATTTGATAGATTTTACTGTTCCTGCAGATTACAGAGTAAAGTTGAAAGAAAAACAAAAAAGTGAGAAAAATATCTAGACTTCAGCAGAGAAGTTATGCAACATGAAGGTGACAATCATGCCAATTATTATTGGAGCACTGGGAGTGATCTTGAAAAGCCCTACAAAAGAAGCTGGAGAAAATGGAAATCCAAGGAAGAATTGATATCACATCAATCACACTACTGAAAACAGGATACTGAGGGGGGTGCTGAAATACTGAAGAAACTTGTTTTTTATTGTTCGGTATAAACCATCAGCTGCTACTGGTGTTAAATTAGTATTTATCTCTTAAGCAATCAATTTTCAGAAAAAAAAAAAAAAAAAAAAAAAAAAAAAAATTCCTTTTTAAAAATGATTAAATTGATTGAATCGGCAACTTATTCAGATAAATATATTTCTGATTTAAAGAATGTAGCTGCATATAATATAAATATATAAACTTGACTGTCTATTGAATATTTTTTTTTGTCCCAATTCTTTTATGAAAGATTTTTTATATTCAAGGACAAAAATTATCAAACTAAAAACCATAAATATTTTTTTAAAAAGCTTATATTTAATAAAAATCTGTACAACATTTATGGACAGAAAAAGATTGGTTTTTATAAAAGCTGAAAATGCTGATAAAAAATAAATTTAATTGTGATAGTCACAATATCGAACCCGTAAAGTGACAGGCATTATTAACTATAAATAAGTCCTATAACTGGAAAAAAAAAAGAAAAGAAAGAAAGAAAAAGAAAACAGAAAAAGCTTGCATTTAAAAAATCTCCAAATTATTTAGCTACACTTGATATTTGTTTGTTTGTTTGTTTGTGTTTTACGACATATCAACCTCCTCAGTCATTTAATACACTTGATATTTATGATATTAATGTGACTTGAATAATAAAAGAAAAAAAAAAATTAAACTAATCATTCTGCCCAAAAACCTTTGAAAAAACATATTTAAAATATAATTTATCTTAAAATTAAAAAAAGTAAAATAAAATCTTCCCATAGGATATGGATATTAGACAGAATTCATGAATTCCATGTAATAGATTCTGATAAAATATGAACAGATTTGACTTCTAGAAATATTTTTCTAGATCTGATTGTTATCCAATATTATGTTATGTCATGTTATTTTGCAAAAAATTATAATTATCATGAACTGATATGGATTCAAGGAATACATTTTTAGATTTGATTGTTATCCAAATATTATGTGACGTCATGCTATTTGACTAAAAATTATTATGAACAGATTTGGATTCTAGAAATATTTTTCTAGAATTGATTGTTATCCAAATATTATATTATAAAACAAAAAACAAGCAAACCATAAAAAATATTTGTTAAAAAAAAAAAAAAAAAAAAATCACACAATTACTTTTTTTTCACAACAAAGTAGTTTGTAGGAACAAAAGGCATTTTGGCTATTTGTCCAGGAATCCTTTTCTTCCGGATATCAAAAATCACTTTACTCCCAACAGAAGAAAACTCTGGTTTTAAATAACCCATAGATATGTTTTGTTTCAGCGTTGGTGATGGACAGCCACTGGTAACAACACCAATTTCAGTTTGACCCGTTTCATCAAATATTTTACAGCCATCTGTACAAATAAAAACAAGTTTGTAGAATCTCAAAGTTATAGACACAATTTACACTTCCAATCTTGTAATTCATGAAAATAGTGATAAATCCTTTTATAACAAAGATTTAGTAGATTTATAATTTTATCATTAAACTAAACTGTGGAATTAATAAAGGAGCAACTTTGGGTTAAGAGACAATTTTGCATCTCATAACCCAGGAACACATGACATATCAGGTCATCCCATAAGGTCTGTCTGAATTTTGAATAAAGAAAACAAGTGACCAAATGTTACGTTTAATTACAGATTCAATCAACAATGTATTTTCCCTGATTATCTATGACTTCCTTCCATCTATTAACAAGCTTACTAATTCCATTACTGTAAAATTCTTTTATCTTTGATTCGAAGAACTCACAAATGTCAGTTTTAACCTCTTCCTGTGTTACAAAAGCTGTTTCTTCCAAATGATTCTGTAAGCTATGAAACAAATGGTAGTCTGAAGGAGCAAGATCGGGAGAATAAGGTGGATGAGGAATTTTCTCCCAACCAAGTTCTTCGATCTTTTGTGACGTGATTCTTGCTGTGTGGGGGTGCATTGTCCTGATGAAACATCGCCTTGTTTAGATTCACTAGAGCAGGTCTTTTTTTCCTCAAAGCTTGGTTCAAACGCTCTAATTGCTGACAGTATATTTGAGCATTAATTGTTGCATTAGGTGGTAAGAATTCAAAGTGGATTATTCCTTGGCGATCCCACCAGATTGAAAGAAGAACCTTTTGCCCATGAAGTTCCCTTCTCGGCTGGGGTCCTTCCCCTTTACCAAGCCACTGTCTACGATACTTAACATTTCGATAAAAGATCAATTTTTCGTCGCCAATCACAAGTCTATCCCAAAAAAGGTGAAACAAGTTGGCGAGAATGGAGAGACGAGCAGATGTCAACTCGGGATTTGAGGTTGTTTTCAGACAATTCATGAGGCACCCATTTTCAAAGTTTAGGAACTTTTCCAAGTTGTTGAAGATGCCGATGAACAGTTGTATGGTTTGAACTGAGAACCACTGCCAATTCCTTAACTGATAAAGCAGGATTTTCTTCAAGGGCTGCTTCAAGAAGCTTTTCATCAAATTCAACTGGATGTCCGGTTTGATCTTCAACTTCAATGGTGAAATCTCCACCTCTGAATTTTGCAAACCATCTTCTGCAAGTTCTTTCATTCATACATTCCTCTCCATAAACTGAGTGAATGTTTCTAGCCGCTTCGGCTGCTGAGTTTCCTTTCTTGAACTCATAAAGCATTATGTGCCTCAAATGATTCTTGGGTACTTAAATGTTAGCAGGGTTTTAATCAAACAAAATTTTATTTTATTGTTCTCTGATATAAAATTTGATCAATTTAAATGCATCTAAACATAAAAATAATGTTCAGCTCCATTAGACATTATAAAATACTCTTTAAATTTTGTTCATTTTAAAAAAAGGTAAAATTCAGACAGAACTTATGGGATGACCTGATAATAATTTAGAGAAAACATTGCTAGAAAAATTAAAATCAATGTAAGAAAACCAGTCAATCTATTGCTAAAAGTGACAATTGAATACACAGTTTTGAAATGTTAAAACAATTCAGAAAGAAAATCTACATTGTTGATTTGGATTAATTTCAATTCAAATATGCTGATATTTAAATCATCAAGATTGCAATTTTTAAAAAAATGACTTTAAAAGAAAAAAAAAAAAAAAGTTTCTCTTGAAGTCTTTATTACCATAAACATTTCAGCATTTCTTCAATCTTTTCAGCTGAAATAAAGTAGAATATTCTCAGCCCAGGTCTCTTCTCTGCCATTCTAAATAATAGTAGAGTCTCTTAAACCTTTACTAAAATAGACAACCAGTATTTCTTGAAACTTCCTGGCAGATATAAGGGGGCATTATCTTGAGCCATGTCTCTTCATTGCCATATAACAGATAAATGATGTAAATATTATGTAAAGAGGAGTCTCTTTCTTAAGTCAATATTCTTCAGCCTTTATTACACTGCACAACCAGTATTCCCTGAATGACCATTTCTGAAATGAAAGAGCATTTTTTTCACATGCGTCTTATGCTACCTTAATTTGGGAAATGCCAGAAGTAAAGAAATATACTGACAAATGTCTCCTTGACTGGTTTGCTAAATTCAATCTATTAAAAGGGAGATGGATAGTCAGAAAAGTTGTCAGGTGAGTGTCAACAATATTGATAATTGATCCTTATTGTTAACCTCAATATGTAGCATCTTAAATTACAATGAGATCTGTAGTATATAAACAGGTAAGAGTGTTTTTCTCTTTGCTATATACAGCCACAGTTTTAAGCAGAGCTCTCAGAATTTGGTATCTATATTTGTTTGACCAAGAGAAAGGTTTTAACATGTTGACTGCCTGAGGCCAATTTTGAAATCTGACTTCAAATGCCAACTTAATAGCCAACTTGATAATAGCCAACTTAGATTACCTAAAAAAAAAAAAAAAAAAAAAGAAAAATGATTATTAGTTGATTTATAATTTTTACTGAAGTTTTAACATTGTTTTCACACTAAAAGTATTACTGCTAATAAGCTTGTTGGCAGCCACAGATGAAAATGTATCAGTAAATGCCAAGCACAAGATAACTTGTTGCTTGCATGAAATAATTTGTAGTCCACATCATAATAAAAACTACTAACCATGAGTCAACTCATGTTTGGCAGTCAATGTGTTTCTTTTGTTTTTTATTTACATGTAGAAACAAGAAACCCATTGGTTATGATATATATATATATATATATATATATATATATATATATATATATTATAGAACAATTATCATTTGTAACATTGCTTATATATGGATAAGAAAAATTGTGTGTGAATGTGTGCGTGATTTAAAAAAGTAATTTCAATAAACAATTTTTACCCTCTAATATATTTGACACTTTATATTGGATTTTTTAAAATAGAAACTGACCAGGAACAAAGGGAAACTAGTTTTTAGTCTATTAAATACAGAGTCCATTACTATAACCAATGGAAAAAAGAGGAGAAAAAATGATATCTTCGTAATGAGAAAAACAATTTTAATTGACAGAAAAGATATTGTAAAATAGATGTTTTTAGTCAAACATTTTATTTCTCTCACTTTCATATTAAAAGTTATGTGGTACTAATTTTGAAAATTATATATATATCCAGCTGTTTCACATAACTTGACCATGATAGAGTCTTAAAAGTTTAACATCACAGTACGAAAAAAAATAATTCAACTGTCATTATAACCTATTGCAACCCAAGTGCTTACCTTTTACAAACAAACAATTCAAATAGTTGTGTAATATTTACTATGTAGCTTCTTACTAAATTTACTTTAAACTTGAAGCAAAAACACCAATGCCATCCATATTTTGCCAAATTTAAAATTGTTTGAAAATAAAGGAAATAATCTGTAGTGTGTAAATACTCTAGGTTTTGAATTAGACAAAAAAAAAAAAAAAAAACTTTGGTTATTTCATTATGAAACAATATTAAGTGTGACTCAACATTACAATCATAGTGAATTTGATCCTTACTGAGTGCCACACTCACCTAAGTCAATACCAATATTGAATTGATTTATTATTAATTTAAAGGCTTTTCTATTATTCAGTCATTCAGTTATGTGCTATGTGTGATACAGGCTTAGGTGATCATGTAACTTTCAATACATGACTGACAAGGCAGATTTTTTCCTTGCAGTAGGTTGCCATTTCTTTCTGCAGTAGACCGGTTGCTATCCAAGGCTATAGAACCCGGTCTGTCCTGCTATTTAGCCATAGCTGAGGGGAGAAGAAAAGGATTCATATCTTTCCCAAGGGTATTAGCATGTAAGTGAAATGTAATGGATTCAACTGGAATTCGAACTTGGCTCTCAGATTCCTCAATCCGAGTCATTATCCATTACTCCACCGTCCTATTATTCACATTATTTATATTTGTACTATTGTCCCCATTTTTGTTGTTATCGCAATGTTTTTCTATCTTCTACTTATTAAGTAAATATTTTTTGATAATTCCAGTCATAACATATTTTAATAACTGTCAATGATATATCTGGAGGTTGATCAAACAAAGAGAAAGAAAGAAGGAAAGAATAAGAGAGAGTTTATTAATTGGATGATAATTTTGAAATTGCAGGAAGATGGATTGAAAAGTTGAGTAGAAAAAAAATTGAAATGTGTTGAAAAAAAATCATGTTTTGAGACACTTCCAAGGAGAATTGAACCCAGATTTAACTAGACAAAATTCAGTAAAATTGAACAAATCCAAGACTGCCGTCCTTCCCCATATCCCACCGATAAGAGGCCATTAAGATATCCATAAAGATGTCAGATAAAATAAAAACATATGTTGATGATAGAGAAATCTGGGTGGTCAGCGAAATAGCATTAACAATTCCCTTGGATCAGATAAAATAAAAACACGTCACCATGGAGAAAAACACTGTGTGGTCAAGTTGATCATAAAGACAGAAAAAAGATAAACTTTCATTTTAAGGAGAGTGGAAATGGATTTTTCTTTCTCCAATTCTTGAGTAGTTTAGGCAATTGAAAGAAATCACAGCACATGAGACAATCTGATAAAGAAAAGATTAATGATTGGATTGAAAATCCTTTTGTTTTCACTATGCCATCTGGAAGTGGCTGAGGTTGGCTGCTGAAAAAGTAGGAGAAAGGAAAAAATGGGAGGAGAGAGAGAGATTAATACTGCTTATACAAAAGCAAGGCTACAAAGGCAAGGTGTAATTGCTCTGACCACTCTCAAAAGGGGTCTGGACAACTCTAAATTTGGAAAACCACTTGAGTAAATGTATTTTTCTATAGGGAAATTTAAGAAAGGTTGATACTCAGGGTAGAAAAGAACCAAACCCAGTCAACTCCACTCCTGCCGGATGTAGGACTCCATACAAACTGGAGATTTTGGACTCAGAAAGTGCAGCTAGAATTTAGTTGAATGTAGGGTTCAGAGTGGAGAAGAGATACAGAGAGAATTCCTGACCAAAGACCTTGTGCCGGACATGAAGACCAGAACTTAGAAATTTAAGAGACTACTTAAAACAAGCTGCATACCCCCCCACCCCGAAGGGGATTCCAGTGTCATTTGATTATAACAAATGGGAAGATTTAAAGCCACTGTATACAAACCAGCACACTGGAGAGGGTATAACTATTTGGATGCAGAGCCATGGACCCTCAAGAAAATGTATATATATAAGTAGGGATGTGTACATAAGTTTCCATAGAAAAACATGTTTGCTGTTGTGTATTCAGTCTATAGTTTAAAAAAAAAAAAAAAAAAAAATCCTACATTGTTAGATGCAAATACCCTTGGGAAAGATTAAGTCATCTCCTCCTCCCAGTTATTGGTTAAATAGTTGGACTTGTCTCTGGAATAATCAGAGTTATTCTCAAAAAAATCCTTCATGAAACATACACTTAATAAAAAGAAGCTATTCTTACAATTCAAAATGTTTCAGTTTTAAAATAACCCACAAAAGGTTGATAAGCCATATCAAAAAAAAATCAATCCATAGTGTTAGTTTTTAAATATAGTGTTTCCAGCTATTATCTGTACTCAGCTCTTTCACCTTGCTTCATAAACAGCTTTGAACATTCTGCCACTATCATATTAAATACACTGTCACCTGACATTGCCAATGCAAACTAGTTGAATAAAACTACATTACAGACAAAAGATATACAAATATTTTTATAATTTTAACAGATATATAAATTTAAAAGAAAACAAGATGGCTTGAGACATCTGTTGAGTAACTGCCTGCTGAAATTGATGACAAATATAAAATATAACAACAAATTGCTTCATTTTTAAATATAATAGTTTTTAAATATAATAAATAAAATGCTTCAGTTTTTTTTAATGGTTTGTTAGCAACTGAAAATGACTTGCTCTATAAAGGCTTAAAAAAAAAAAAAAAAAAAAAAAAAAAAAAAAGAAAGTTATTCTAACATTGAAATTCTTCCTCATTGCTTAATGTGCCAAGTGTAACAGTTTTTGATCAAAATAAAGTTAGTGAAATTTTTTTTAACTAGAAGATCAAATCAACAAACAACCAGCAGTTTATAAATATTTTTAATTATGTACAACCAACTTGCACTCAGAATTGACAGCATTACACAGGACATTCTCATTTCAATACATTAACCTCATTTTCCTCACGATATTAAATGCTGTAGTAAAAACTGTTCTTATAAAAAAAAAAAAAAAAAAAAAAAAAAAATCAATATATTTCTCATCATTTTCTTTGCTAATCTCAGAATTAGTTAAACGGAAAGAAAGTTTTTCATTTTACTATTTTTTGGTTAATATGCATTTTTTTTTTGTTTTTTTTTCAGTTTATTACCGACAAATTAAAATTCTTCATTATTTATCTCCAGACTATTGTCCTCATCATTGTTATTATCACAGCATATCAACCATTATGCCATCCAGCCTTCATCTTGTGCTTGTTGATATGGGGTAACATTCAGAAAATTTCAAACAGAAACCTTTAGTTAATCTACAGGGGTATATTGTTCTCGTTCCGCTGTCCATGTCTGGGGACATCTCGTCTAGTCCTTATTTAGTATTGTTATTGCTCACCTTGTTCTCGATCCGCTGTCCATGTCTGGGGACATCTCGTCTAGTCCTTATTTAGTACTGCCCAGTTATTGCTCACCTTGTTCTCGATCCGCTGTCCATGTCTGGAGACATCTCGTCTAGTCCTTATTTAGTACTGCCCAGTTATTGCTCACCTTGTTCTCGATCCGCTGTCCATGTCTGGGGACATCTCGTCTAGTCCTTATTTAGTACTGCCCAGTTATTGCTCACCTTGTTCTCGATCCGCTGTCCATGTCTGGGGACATCTCGTCTAGTCCTTATTTAGTACTGCCCAGTTATTGCTCTTGTTCTCGATCCGCTGTCCATGTCTGGAGACATCTCGTCTAGTCCTTATTTAGTACTGCCCAGTTATTGCTCACCTTGTTCTCGATCCGCTGTCCATGTCTAGGGGACATCTCGTCTAGTCCTTATTTAGTACTGCCCAGTTATTGCTCACCTTGTTCTCGATCCGCTGTCCATGTCTGGGGACATCTCGTCTAGTCCTTATTTAGTTCTGCTCACCTTGATTTCACAGAATCTAAGTCAGCATTACCTGGTCCAGAGATTGAACTCACAATTACTATTTCCCCAATTTCATGAACTGAAACTTTAATCCAGCAGGCTATTATCACATTTGATAGCCAGAAGCCACATTAAATGAAACGTGATAACAACATGAGGACAGCTGTCCAAATGTAAAATAAAGGTAACTCCTCATTCCAGAATTTCAAGCAGTTCTTCACTTAAAAGAGGAAAAACATATTTAAACACTCTGAAGAGACAAAAAGATAAAAATGAAAATGCTCACAGCTTTTTGAAAATAAATGAACATTGTTTGAATTATTGCGAAATAATTAAAGAGGTCATTTCATCTACACCATACATAGTTAATGGGTTATCTTAATTAAGTGCACTATATTTCTAGAGTGAAAGAGAAAACAAAGACAGAAATATATGGCTCCCTCATTTTTGAGGAAAAAAAACAGATTTGGGAGGGGGCTGACATAACCACCACGGAGGAAGGTAGACAGATTTAACAATCAAAGATGAAGATGGTAGATCTTTTTTTTGATCTTTATAAAGAAGCCTGATGAAATTTCATCACTTTTCAGAATCCCGTTAGTAAAAGAAAACATACTGTTTTCTGAAAAAATATATTTTGTCTCATTTTTAATATGGTTTTCTTTCCTCTCAACAAGCTACATCAGTACCCCAACTGTTTAGGCATTATTTAAAAAAAAAAAAAATTTTTGGCTACAATTCTGACATGCATTTGTGAGCTAAACTTCAGCTCAACCAATTTTTTTTTTTTTTTTTTTTTTTTTTTCATGATATCCCATCCACAAGATTTTCATAAAAAACTAAACCCCTTAGCATGCTAGGTTAACAAATTCTTGTTATACAAAGTTGAAATTAAGGTTTGTTCATGATATTAAATCCATCCGTTTGTGATTTCTTCAGGCCCCACTTGAAAACTGAAAGACATTACAAAACTGGTCTAGACATGCTATACAAGTATCTTAAAGTAAAATATTATCTGACTCCTTGTCATTTTTTTTCTCTACCTCATTCTACTTAAGTAATGCATATTATGTTTGACATGTTCTCATGAGGACAAATGATAAAAATTCAGTTGAAAAGAATCAAAGTTTTAACTCACGTCTTGGAGAAGGTCCTGCAGATAGAAATCCAACTCTTATCCTGTTGGGTGGATTCTTTACGTGATCCAAGATGATTGAAGCTCCAGGAAAATTAGCCTCTTGTCGTCGCCTTTTACCTGAATATCAGGTAGTTGGAAAAAAAATAAATAAAAAAACCATAATGAAACCATTTGGGGATATTTTAGATAGGCAACGTTAAAAAAAAAATTTAAGACTACAAATAATAAATCATTCAGTGTTTGGGGAGTGGTAACTGCAGTCATCCTTACTACTTATTTACTTCAGAATGTTTTAACTGGTTCATTCTCCATCCTTCTTCAGGTGAAGTTTTATCTGGAGCAAAGTCTACATAAAGCTGAGAAGACTGGGTAATGTTAAAACATAGTGGGCATATCTTTTGGGAACACTCACATTTCATGAAAATCAACTTGTTGAAACTTGCTCAAATAATTTATCAATATACCCATCTTTATACCCAATTACATTTTAACATTTCAGCCATTTTTAGGTCTTTATAAAAATAAAAGTACATTAGACACATCTCAGCTGTCCATATTTTTGTAATTGACAATAACTACTATCACCAAGTATCAGATCTGTACATACAATATCCTTGGAGCTATCAATGCTTTAATATAGAGAAAATAAAACAGATTCTTATAGGTGCAAACTTGTGATTATGCATCTAACTTTTCAGTAGAGGTAAATTAAAAGAAAGAATAAAATTAAAATGGAGGACAGTTTATTTATTTTTTAAAAGATGGAGCATGTGAAATATAGTAAAAACAATAAAAATGAGGAAACAAGTAAGAGACAGTGAAAAAAAAATCATCTTGACAAATTTTCACTGTTGCATTGTTATAACATTGTTGCCTGGCTGAGCTGGCCCATTTTGGAAGAATAAAAAGTTGCCAGTTATTGGAAAAATAAGAATTTCACAAACCTATGACATCGATTTACTGCATGTTTTTCAATAAAGTTATGACTTTTTTGTTTGAAAACCAGATGTCACTTGTGGAAAATGTTAACTTTTGATTCAATGCAGTTTGTTTGCTAAGCCTTTATCAAACATCAACTTAGCACATAAGTATACATGTTTTCAGTTGACAAATTAAGGAAAATATTTTCAAGAATCCCAATGATCAAAACACTCACTGAAGAAAAAACTCATCTTACAAGACACTGGATATAATTACATAATTACTGTTATGAGTGATGTCTTTTACAGTCATCTCTCCTTTGAAATAATCTGGCTATTTTTGTACTTAAAAAAGATTCTGCAAAAATTAAACTGACAAGAAAAAAAATTTAAGAATGTTTGAACCACAAAAAAAAAAAAAAACATTGTGTTAAAAGGACAGTTATTCTCTTGACTCTGCAATTAATATATATATATATACTTTTGACTCCCTTGGCAATATTTGTTCGGACTGCTATACTCATCTTTATTGCTACATTCCTAAGACGGCCAAGCATAGAAATGAATAAAAAAATATAGAAACCAGTAATATAGAGAATTAGAGAAAAACAATAAGAAAAATTGTAATATGAGCTCTGGTGTAAAAAAAAAAAAAAAAAAAATGGTTATGGAGAATTAAGTTCATAAGTTCCAAAAATTCACTCACTATTGTCACCAAGGACACATGGCCCCAGTAGTAAAAGTGTTGGTTGATTGATCCAAAAGTGACTTGACCCAAAGAATTGTGAGTTCATGTAGAGAGAACAAATAAAAGGAGAGTTATCAAAGGCAATAAACTAAAAAAAACAAAAAAAAAAAAACAGATATCCAGAGGCATGACACATGGAATTAAAACAATCTATCCCCATGCACTAAAAGGGTTCACTTCAAAATTCCAACAAATATCACCTGAAGAAGACCAGAGGGTACAACAGCTGAAACATTGCGAATGTGATAAAGATTAGAAGAACAGACCAAACAGTGTAAATAGTTAAACTATTTTATCTCAGAAATATAGACAGGTCATTTATTTAGGTTATTTACAAAAATAATTTTATATTTACAAGATTATAAAATATGTGAACCATATATCATGAAATATTATTTATCATTTTATACAGAAATATGAAAAGAAATTATTTTACTCATAAATTTATAAAAATTAAAACAAGAAGTAATCCAAAATATAAAATAATCTGAGAAGAAAATGTATTATGTCTGAACATTCATATTTATTTAAACTTTCTTGTTCTATAATTCATTGAGATTTTTATAAAATTATGAACAAAAAAAACTAATAAATATTGGACTGTAGTTGGTTTACATATTTTGATAATTTTATAATTTATTAATTTTTGAATAAAAAAAAAAAAAATTTCAAATTTATTTCTTTATAAAAAGGTAAATAAATATCACATTGTACTTATTTTTTTACATTACATATATTTAATAATCTTGTAAATAAAATTAAGCATCCTTTTGACACACCATTTTTTTTTGTAGGCACAAAGGTTAAACATTGCTAAAAATAAAAACTCACCAATAAGCCAGCCTAAAGATGCTTCAATGGGTGTTGTTGTCTCATCCATATCATTGCCATACAAACATAATCCTGCTTCTAAACGTAGCGTGTCACGAGCACCTAAACCAGCCATTCTGACTTCATCAATCTTGGAACCAAGCAATTCATTCAATAATTTCAAAACATGATCACAGTCGACAGAAATCTGAAAGAATATAAAAATGATCAAAAGATTTTTTTTATTTGTCTGAATCTCTAGGATAAGTAGTTATCATTATTCACATTATTTATATATATAGTCCTTATGCTTGTTGTTATCACAATGTTTCGACCTTTGTGCCCTCTGACCTTCATCAGGTGTATGTCAATCTTGGTAACCTACAGGGAATTTCTAATGGAACCCTTTATTTAATCTATAGGGATAGATTGTTCATGTTCCATTGCCCAGATCTAGAGATACAATCTACCATGTAGATTAAAGAAAGGGTTCAATTTAAAATTCCCTGTAGGTTAGCTGGATTGACATACATCTGATAAAGGCCGGCGGGTACATCTGCTGAAACATTGTGATAACAAAAATGAGGACAATAGTCTGCATGTAAATAAATTTTTTTTTTTGTCTTTTCACAAAAGCATTTTTAAATTGCAGATTTTTAAAGTATTGATTACGTTCATGCAGAAATATAAATTTGAGCTTATAGCCATCGAAACTGCTGATTAATAGACTGAAAAAGTCTTTGAAATTGCTTTCATTATAAGTACATTATAATAATTTGAAGTGTCATTGTAATGAAAGCAATAGAAATGTAAGGGAAGTAACTTTAATAAACTATGAGCAAGGGAAGTAACTGAATATGACTATATAAAAACTTGTTTATGAAAAAATAAAATTAATTTCGAGAGAATCACTTCAGTATTTATTACAAAAAATATTTTCAACTTTAAAGTTAACATTAAAATTATGTGTTATTTGTACAAGGTGGTGCTGGAAAGTTCTCAGCCGAATTCATTTTTCGGCATCTGACCAAATAACCCAAAGGTCTTAATCAAAATAAGAAATTGTGGTTGGAGAACTGAAGGAAAAAGCAAATAAAGAAAAAAAAAATGATTTATTGCTGGCACAAGGATTTTTCACATGCATTGAATGTAAAGAAATAAAGAGAAAAAATGTCCGCTCATAAGGCAAATATTTAAGAATGTTACATTCTTGTAAATACTAGATTTTGTTAGTAACATGCAAATTTCCAACCATCAAAAAGAATGTATAAAAAAAAAAAAAAAAAAAAAACACATATTGCATTTTGATCCTATGATTGTCATGTGTGGGTTTTCTGTGGTGGACAAATGGTGCTGGTTAAAATTTATAAAAACTTAAGGGAAAATTTAAATAAGGAACATTATTTTATTTTTATGATTCTTCAAAAGCTTTTCATGAAACTTATTACGTGAGCTTTATATTGAATTGTATGAATAAATGTATATAGAAAATTTTATGCTGTCAAAAAGTAACGAACATTATTTGTAATTTGGTTAACAAACTTCCCTGGACATGGCTAAGAAGACTTACAAAAAAGATTTAGTTACCTGACATTTTTGTATATCGGCCTAAAAGGCATAAGTAATAATCATTGTTTATATGTAATAACATTTGTATATAATGTTGATCAGTATAAAAGAAGAAAGAGAAATAAACAATCTACTCAAAGTATTCTCTGAATTATATAGGATCAATAAACTTACTTTTAGTGTTTTAATCAAAACCTTTCAGCTGATATATTCTTTGACATTTCTCAGGTAATCCAGTATCTATCCATATAAATCTAGTCACTTGTTCAATAGGAACAATTTACAAATCCAAATATAAAATAAATTCATGGGCTGACATGGAAAATTTGTCTCAGCAAAAAAGAAAAACAGGGATGCAATATTGAATATTGTTGCTATATATGGTTCTTCTGCTATGCATTTAGTGATTCTTGATAAAATACAATGAAGAAGTTGCAATGCTATTAGTCCTGACATCTTGGCTTCAGTCACCTTCCCACCACTGTAACAGCTTCTCTGTGCCTTTAATTAATTGCATGGTAATTGTTCAGATGAACTTTCCTCTATGTTACCTAGACTATGAATTTAAGCACAGTACTAGGTTGGTGGCAAGGTCTCAGCATTTTACAGTTGAAATGGTTTGATGTAACTGTAAGTTCTATGCTAATAGTTTCTTCTCTCACACTTCTCACTTGTGGAACTCTTCCAGCATTTTGCTTCCCAGTCAATTATTTATTTTTCAATTGAAATGCAATCTCAATCATTCTCTTCTGTCTTCTTAATTCCTGTTCTTTTATTGTCTCCACCCCTTAATAAGCTGTTTTTTTCTCTCTTACTCAGTAAATCTATTGCCTTAGTTAGGGTAAAATGATTTAAAAAAAAAAAACAAAAAAAAAAAACTGGTATACACTCATTTTTGTGCTTTATCTTGCCAACACTTATTTATTCACCCGAGATCTGTTCTGTCTTCCATTCTTCTGCTCATCTAAATCTAAATTTCTTTACAGTATTAATCAGTACACTCAATTCACTTGTGTTAACATTTGATAAACTTTTTGACTTTAATATTTTGATAACAAGAGGACATTAATCTAAATAATCTATGAACTAATGACAATTTCAAATTGTGGAGAACATGCCACTCAAGATATAAAATTAATCAACCTCTACACCATCTTCTCCTGTATAGCCACAACGAGTTATTCTGCATTCTGGAATTCCAAATACAGTGGTCATTGTACTTCTCATAAATGGTAGGGTGCTGAGATCAAAGGGCAGACCAGGTTGTAATACTTTGATCATAGATGGACCTAAAAAGAAAAAAGAAATTCTAATTTTTAAAATAAGACACACACAAAACAGATTCAGTTTTATTGATAGTCAATATTTAAATTGAAAAAAAAAAAAAAAAAAAAAAAAAAAAAAAATTATAAGGTCTTGAGCAACCAATTGTACCAAGGTCTCAGATGTAACAAGAGATTATGACCACGAAATGTCAAAATCATGGGAGGCAATCATAACAGCCTGAAAAAAGGTTTCACCGCAAGTGTTAAATCGAATATTCACTTCATAAAAAAAAAAAAAAAAAAAAAAAAATAAAATTAAGGGGAGATAATAGATATCTAACTAGTGGTCTTTTAAAATAAATTATGCATTACTGAAAATTAAACTGGTTAATTCATTTGTTTTTATCTACGATAATAAATAAAATTTTTTTTCTTTCAAAAATTCAACATTGAAATCTTTATTCGTGTAATGTTGCTTAATATTTTGGCTTTATTTTATGAATTTTTAAAAACTAGTTAAGAAAATAAATAAAATCACATTTCAATATTTGTCTTACATAAAATATATGCATAAGTAAAATATTAAGTTTTCTGTCTTAATTCATGTTACTCTTATATTTCAATCGTTTCATTTATTTATATTTTATTTTTAAATGATGCATAATTTTAAAAAAAGCACTATTCAGATAGAAGTTATCTCCCTTTAATTTTCTAAGCTTTGATTTTTTTTGGTAAAGTGAGCTATTCGATGAAGTGAAGATTTGTTTTAATGTTTTCAGTGAAGATAGAATTCAGTTATGAACTAAACCCAAAATAAAATATCACTGAAAAGTTTTGTTGTCAAAAGTGGGATCTTGTATCTTATAATCTAGGAAACATTACACAAATATTATAGAAAACAGGGCACATTTAAAAAAGTTATGATAATAAATGCAAAAAAAAAAAAAAAAAAAAGTCAGAGGCTCAAATCGAAGCTCAAAGATACATTCATAATAATAACTAGCAGCATGGCCCAGCGTTGCCCATGCTCGATTCAAAAATTGTACGACTCATACAGCAATCGCTATCACTTGACTTAAAATATTTTTGTCCTTCCTTGCCTTTAAAGGAGTGCCCTTTGCCGTGCTGATGTTGCTACATGTCTTACTTCTTGCCTATCTCACACTGCAAATTTTTTCTAAGCACTATACTAAACATTAAATCTGTTATTAAAAAAAGAACTAAACAAAATGAACACAAAACAATCAGCTTTAAAAAAGAACTTGTAACTGGAAAAACCGAATGAAAAAAGAATGTTAACAACAAATACTTTTTCACACCCAACCCAGTTCTGTGGAATCAGAATCAATGTTGAGTTTAAGCAAGCAAATGGGCCAATTGGAGTAAAGTGCCATGCAGATTTAAATTTTTCCCACTTGTGATGAATGCAGCTATCAATTTTTTTTGCATACTAGCTAACATTCATGTCAGTCAGCTCTCACGCTGGCCAATAGAATCTTCCTGCCTATTCGTGGCAGCCAGCTATAGGCTCTCATTCTGGAGAGTACAAAATGGCCGCAAACTACATGAAAACTGCCGTAGAAGCATGAAAAAAAATCGATTATTTCCTCTATCGATGGGAGTTGGGAAATGCAATGTCAGTCTTGGCCTTCCCGCTAACTTGGAGCATGTGCATCTAAATTTTGGTGCAAATCCATCAAAAATTATGGTCACCTGATCTGCTAAATGTAACTACTATGAGCACCAAATATAACAAAATAGTAAATCATGACCAGCAGATGAAACAAGGTCATCAGATGACATTGGACAGTTCAAAAGACATCATACCGCATGTAATAAAAACAAAACAGGCTAGTTTTAACAAAATTATAATTGCCAGATGTAAAAAGGTTTCAAATAGTACACTGTCAAATGTACCATACAAAAAAGCTGACCTGCCAGATGTAAAAAGAGCAAAAGATGTAGGTAGACACCAGCAATATGCAAGGAAATCAAAAGAAGCTGAACAGTAAGCAATATAAAATTTAGCAGAACAGATAACAAAAGCAAAGCAGATAAAAAAATAATAGGCCTATCAAATGTAACAAGATCATATAACAGTACAGCCAAATTTAATCATATCTGTTGAAGTATCAAGGTTTTAAGAAAGAACTGATATATAAGCAAAAGCAGTAGAGCAGCCAGATGTAACAAGATAAAACAAAATAGATTAACCAGATATAACCAGAGAAAAAGGGGGGCATACCATCCAAATGTAACAAAAAAGTTACTAGATATAATACAATCATATGCTTGATGAAACAAAAAAAAAAAGAAAAAAGAAAAAATGCAAGCAAGGTAGATTTTTAAAAAGGGGATTTAAGAGAAAGAAATAGCAGATCTGCCAGTTGTAAAGAGAGCAAAAGATTGGGCATAACAGTCAAATGTAATGAGACGAGAAATGGCACATCTGGCAGATGAAACAAGATCAAAAGTGGCAGTCCACCTAATGTAAGAAAATCATTGGAAAGAGATAAGATGAAAAGTAGATCTGTCAGATATAATGATCAAAAACTGAATATGTGCCAGATGTAATAATTGCAAAAGAATTTCTGATCATATTTGGTTTACAATAACCAAATATAAATGCTCCGAAATTTTTTTTTACCAAATATAAGATCAGAAGTTGCAGATAAGTCAAATGTAACATGATCAAGAGTTTGATCAGCCAGATGTAACATGACCAAGAGTTTGATCAGCCAGATGTAACATGACCAAGAGTTTGATCAGCCAGATGTAACATGACCAAAAGTAGCAAACTAGGTACAAGTGAAACAAAAATAACATGCTTGCCAGATGCACTTAGACCTAAAGTAGCAGAATACCTATGATATAACAAGATGGTAATGTTTAACTTTCACGTCTGAAAAAAAAAAAGGGGGGGGGAGTTATTCTATTAACACTGCTATTACTGTATACATTCTTGACTCCCTCAGCAATGTTTTATTTACAAGATTATAAAAATCTGTGAACCGAATCAAATGCAACATTTATTTACCACTTTATAAAGATTTATTATTTATCATTTTATAAAGAAATAAATTTGAAAAGAAATCTTTATTTAAAAAAATTTATAAAAAAATTACAAAATCATCCAAACAGGTAAGAGGAAGAGATGCTTCCAACCTATTTTCGTGAATTTATGTGGTGAGAACAAATGAAAATTTCCTGGAAAACACATTTTTTTTTTCTTCAAAATTTATAATTACATGTTAAGTGTTTATTTAAATTTTCTTGTTCAGACATTTCTGCAAATTTATGAATAAAAAGATTTTTCATATTTACTTCTTTATAAAGTGGTAAATAATATTTCATTATATCTGGTTCATATATTTATATAATGTCGTAAATATAAAATCATTCTTGTAAATAAGTAATCTAATAAATAAATAGTGTTTAATATTTTGTTTTCAATTCTCAGGAATAAAGAAAATGTATAAATCCAATGTCATATGTTTGGGTTTTATTAAAATTCTAGTCAATTGTTTTGAAACAATAAACATAGCCAAGGGAATCAATAATGTATCCAGCAGTGGTGACTCCAGGGTTGAGCATAGCCTGAATGAGTCAACATTCAAGTACATCTATTTCAAAGCAACAAAAATCTTTTGTAGTGTGTCCTTTTCGTTCTTGACTTCAGCTGGATCCAAAATTGTTTTAACTCCATGTCTCAAAATATTGACCAAAATACATTTTGTTGATATTGTTCATAATAAAGAAAGAAAGAAGAAAAAAAGAAAAAGTAAAAAAGGAAGGAAATAAAATTAATGTGGCTAGTTGGGCTGATTAAGTCTGAGACATAACAATAGGAAATGTATTTCTTGCTTTAATTTTATAAATAATTTTTTAAAAATCTATCTTTTGAGAAAAGGCAAATTAAATTTAGCTCGACATTTAATTTTGGTGAAAATCAGTGGCAGCCTTAACTTGTAACTGGAGAGTTAGGGAGTGAGGAGTGTGACTGGGGTAGTGTTGAGTAAATATTATCTCAGTCAGCAGTACTGATCATAAACATACAATAAAATTCACAGACAGAGAGATACATAAACACACTAATGCATGGACATATATACAAACACACTCAAGATACACGTTATAAAAAAAAAACAAAAAAACATACAACTGGCTTTGTCTTCACTCGTTTTTTCTGACATATCTGGAAAAATTTTTAAAATAAATGTTTATTTTTATAGAATTATTACAATTAATATTAAAATACCAAAATGTGTTTTTTTTTTTTGTTTTTTTATTTCATGCACAGAGGTTTTTTAAAATTATATATTTTAGAGTAGGGGATAATTTTAGCATTTATGTTATAGCCATAGTATATTGTGTTAAAGATTGTAATGAGCCCAACAAAACAAACATTGATGATCTTGAGTCACCACTTGTATACAGTAATAGTGCTATCAAAAGAATAACTCATTTTGACACAGTTTTTTTGCAGGCATGAAGGTTAAACATTACCAACAATATGCAACATCTAACATGGAAAGGAATAGATCAGCAAGATGTAACAAGGACAAAAATAACAAATGTGCCATTTGTAACAAGATTAAAAAGTTGCAAACCATCAAATGAAAAGGGACAGTCCAGTTTCATGTAAAAAGAATAAAAGCATCAATCCTGCTAGATATCAGAATTTTACCAGATGTCACAATTCAAACTTATTCTGTACTGCAGTGTATCAAATTGAAACAAAAATGGTGATGCCCAAGAGAAATAACTATCAGCATCTGTATCATCATTTATTTTCAGGAAATGGTATTTTTGTATTTTTTCACAAAATGGGCCAGCACAGAGAAACAACAATACTATAACAATACATCAATGAAAATACTAAACCTAATTTCAAACTAAAAGGAAAATTAAGTGTTCAGTGAAGTTCTTTTTAATAATTCTGTTTCTAGTACAGAACTCTTCACTTTATATTAAATTTCTCTCTCCAGAATCTATCTTTTATATCTATATATCTGCCATTCATCCATGCTTAGGATATTGCTGCCACATGTGGTCTGGTGCCTCTGCTATTTTCCTTGAGCTCCTTTATAAAATCCAAAGAAAAAAAATTAGCAATATTATTGGCCCTGATCTGGCAACATGGTTTCAGTCACTTTCCCACCACCATAAGTTTGCATCACTGTACCTTGTTCTATAAATACTTTCATGATAAATGTTTGCATGAGCTCTTCACCATGGTAGCTAGACTTTTTGAATTTAAGCGTAGTACTAGACTGGTGTCAAGATCATATCAATTTACAGTTGAGCTGGCCAGATGTAACTAAATTCTATGCTAACAGTTTCTTTTCTTGCACTTCTCGCTTGTGAAACTCCCTTCTAGCTCCATACTTTCCAGCCAACTTTAATTTGCAAAAATTTAAATGCAATGTTGATTGCTATTTACTGTGCTCCTGATTACTCTTTTCTTTTTTTGCTCATTATTAATATTTTTGTTTCTAAGTCTTCTACACTCAGTAACCCTTTGTGTCTCAGTGGCCTTACTGCCTTGCATGGGATGATACATGTTTAAAAAAGAAGAAAAAAAAAAAGAAAAAAAAAGAAATTGGTCATGGCATTATTTAAATCTTCATTTATTGGTCACATCATTTACTTATTTGGGCACCTTGATGTGGCATAATGGTTAGCAAGCTTGTCTCACAAGATCAATTGCGACTGAATAGCGAGTTAAATATTCCCTGGGTGGTCCTTACTTTCGGCCTTGTGCCACATCTAAACTACACTTAGAAAATCACCATATCATTTAGTTATTTTCTTGGTAGATATCCAACAAACACCATGGAATAAGACTTACATTCTTATGTAATTGTAAAACTAATTTTGCTGAAGTCATTTTTTTTCAGGATGTACTCTATATCCATGTGCATAAGACATGTTTCATCAGATTTAAAAATTCACCATTTCAGCAAGAAGTTTGATTTATCTATGGATTTTGTATATACAGAAAAATATAGTCTGTTTACTTTCAAGAAAGGCAATAAAGCCACTAAGATGCAAGGGGGGTTACTGAGTATTAGAGAATATGAGAAAAAAAAAAAAAAACACTATTAAGGAGAGAGAACAATAAAAGAACAGGAATTAAGACATAAGATAATGATTGACGCTGCATTTAAATTTTTGAAGATCAAACTTAACTGAGAAACAAGAAGCTGGAAGAAAGTTCTACAAGTGAGAAATGTGACAGAAGAAACTGATAGCATAGAACTTAGAGTTACATCTAGCTACTTCAAGTGTAAAATAATTAAACCTTGCTGCCAATGGGGTGATACCAATAAAAAAAAAAAAAAAAAAAAAAGTAAAAAATATATTTTACCTTGAACAGCAAGTAATGAATGAGGCAATCTTTCTATTGTTACATCAAGGCCCTTGGCATGAAATTCTGCAACACGTTTCTAAGAAGACAACATTAAGTTAATGGAAGTAAAACAAAGAATGCATTTACAGATAAAGTTTGTTTTAATTTTGATTTTTGAATGCATTAAATTACAATCTCATACAGCAAGAGTTGAAAAAAAAAAATAAATAAAAATAAAAGGTTACATTTATTTTATGCAGGTTTGCAATTTGTATGCCATCCTCGTAATCAGTACCTCCAAGGAGTAGGACCATGGTTAATTCCTAAAGCCTATGATGTGCCAACAGGGAAATGCTGATACATGTATACACAAGACCTCCACTTTAACTTGGCCTTGTGCTATATATTGTTTGAGTAGGGACATGGATAAACCCAACTAACAATGCTTGAAATGTTAAATCTACTCACCTAACTTTTTACAGGAATGGAAACATTTTTTTTTTCTTTATATGTAGAATGTATTATTTTTTTCACATTTCACCCCACTGAAGGTAATAATGCCACTAAGACACAAAGGGCTACTGGGAGGAACCAGAAACCCAGTTGTAAACAGAACAAGGGATAGACCTTCACTCCTGTTCAAAAGATGAGGGAAGAGTGTGAACCAAGTGATAGGCAAACCTATCTACATAATTGATAATGGTAATATTTATTAAATACTAATTATGGTACTTATTGCATAATTAATATCTCTTGACTATTTTGGGGTTTACTGACTACAATCTTTTTGTATGGATACCATCTTCATAGATACAATGGTTAACAGTGAATTCAATATTTGCAGGGCGCACCAGACTGGTATTGACAGAGTGATTGATTTTTTTTTTTCTTTACAGCCTCATACCTTGTGGGTTATTTAAAGTCAAAACATTTTAAATTGTAAGAATAATAAATATTGCATTAACAATTTCTACTAATTAACCCATAGCTGGAGGGAAAGAAGCAATGGATTTACACCTTTCCAAGGGTATTTGCATATGTGAATGTAAGAAATCCAACTGAAATTTGAACTCAGCTCTCCAATTTCACATTCCAAGCTGCTATCTATTACACCACCCACACATCCATGAGCTATGCTGGTAGCCTTACACTAGGCTTAATAAATAACTACAAGCCATCTTCATCTTAGCTAAATTTTCAGATAAATGTAAAAAGAGATTGGTATTCCTTACTAGTTTGCCACTCCTACAAATGTAGCCATGAATAATAGATTTAGTCATGAAATAAAAAGCAACAGAAGGGAGAGGGGTAAATTTATTTTATACAAGCCATTCTTTTAAGCATGTCCAAAAAATGATGTCATTTCATTTAGAAACCCTCAATGTGACAATCTGATAGAAAAACAAATCAAATTAACTAGTTCAATTTTAAGTAATACATAAAGAGCAGTAATTAGATATCAGTTATTTGGGGAATTTTTTTTCTTTTTTTAACAATGATGTTTACCTTGTACAAGGCCCAAGAGCAACTTGAGGTAGAGGGTTACAGTTTATAGGGATATGTAGAGAACAGTTAATCTTAGACTTGAACAGGTTAAGATTGTCGTAATCAGAGAAGTATCATCTTGAGAAGAAGCTGTTTGATTGGAACTTAGATCTCACCAATGGAACATGAAGGGAATGAAGATGGTTAGTTATAATGGATGTGGCATGGTGAGTCTTAGTTGTGAAAGTTAGAACTGGTGGAACTAAGCAATGGAGTTTGTGTGAACACTTTCCATGGAAGTAGACAGAGGCTTGCGGCATTTTGTTTATGGGAAAGAGGCTGTATGGTGGAAAATAATTTGTCACCCACTAGGGCACAGAGACACTTTAGGACTATAAAGACTGGAAAATGAAGTCTATTATTAGGTGGGGCTGTGGGAGAATTATCTAATTTTTATTTTAATCTTATCAGCACCAGAGTGGAGAAAGGGGAATGAAACTTATGAAATAAATAATTTTGCTGAGGCAAGATTATTATTTTTGTTCAATTGATTGAATCATTTTCTACAGCTTAACTGAGCATAAATGAATATAATGAACCCAAATGAAATTGGGACTTGGTTTTCCAATCAATGTTTCTGAGCCATTGTCCATTACGCCACCTGCACATCCAAGCTTACATCCTCTGGCATTCCCAAGCAGTTACTCATCTAGATATTGACCAGACTATGTTGCTTAACTTCAGCAATCATACATGAACCAGTATTTCAAGATGGTGCAGTAATAAACCTTATTTTTGTGTTCATGTTACTTTATTTTTGGTTGCTTCTGTAATTCTTTTAGATTACTCCTATTTTCCTGATGCTAATCAAACAGATTCTGAAATTCTCTCATTTCTGAATATTTATCAGATTCCAACAGAAGACATTTAAGAATAAAAGGTTAGAAGCAAAGAAAGCTTTAAAAAGGTGAAAAATCATTTTATGCCAGTTTTCATTAGAAATTTTGAAAAAAGGAATTTCATTTTTAGTTTAGACATAATATTATTGATGTCAATGTGACAGCCAAATGGAGAATGTAAAACTTGGAGGTTATCAAGATTGTTATAAAAAAAGAAATTGGAATTAAAGTTTGTTACTAAGATATTTATTCATATCATCTACAGAACATTGTGACCAAATGTGATTCCTGATTGTTCGTATATAACTTAAAGAACAAGTAGGAAAGGTTTATCAATCTAACATGTTTCGCTTTTATTAAAGCTTCTTCAGAGAATAAGACAGGCTGAAAAAGAAGAAAGAAATTTTAGCATTTTTATTTTTGTGTTTGATATGCATTGGTTAATCAGGTTTCATGTGCATATGACTTGTTAAACAAATTTTAATCTAATTTATAGTGTCCCGAATTTAAGGAGAGACAATACGTCTTTTTGAAGTTCGAAGCCTAATTGGAAAACTAAATATTGCTTTATGCATGTAAGTGTATAATAATTCTAGTTCATCTATGTGGGATTCTGATGATAATGTGTGTGTGTGTGTGTGTGTGTGTCTTGTAGATATTATGTTTGGTGGTTTTTCACATGTTGATTTTGTAATGTTTTTATGTACACACAGTTTGTTTTTAGATAAAAATATATCAGATTCTTTAAGAATGGATTCAGTAAAGTTTGGTGATGTAATATATTTTGGACAAGTGTTTATAGTTGGTAAAATATCTATTACTAATTCCTCCAAGTACTTTTTGACATAAAGAATTATTATTTTTTTTTTTTTATTATCTTACCTAAGATACATAGATGACATTCTTTTATTATATCCTAATAATAAAAATCTATTAGACATAAGAAACCTAACATCGAACCTACAATTGAATTCACATAGGAATTTGAAATAAATCTTTACTTTTTCTTGACATCTTATTAATATGTAACAAAAAAAAAATGATCAAAATAATTTCTATTCCCACCACAATCAAAAATAAAACAGCACTATTCATAGGATTCTGCTTTAGAGCGTTTAGAATATGTAACCCAGAATACCTAGGTGAAGAGAAATACATTGAAAAACATTTAGACTTCTTCACTACCCACATCATTTCATTCTCAATGCTAAATAACAAGAAACGTTCACAAAAAATAGACACCACCAATAGCACTTCTAACACTAACAGCACAAAATTCATAATCCTACTCTTTAACACTTTCTACAAAATTTGTAAATAAGTTAGTTATCCCTAATACTAGGATCTTTACCACCATGTCCAAGACTGTCAGATATATAATATAATTAGGAAGAAAACAACACCAATTCAGATACTAGTACTTATCAAATAAATTTCTTACAATGTAAAAGCTCTTATATTGGTGAGACATCTGGAAATCTAAAGTCCCTATCTACAAACATAAAGGGGTTTACATTTAGATCAACTATTTAAACTCACTCATAATACACAAAACTAGCCATAACTTTGATTTTACAAATACCAAGTAATTAAAAAAAAAACATAATACTTTATGTCAAAAGTACTACAAACCATAAACACATGTCAAAAACAACCTATTACATAAGCATAAAAAAAAAAAAAAAGGAAAAAATCAACACAATATCTACAGGATATATACAAGATGAACCTACTTAGGTTTCACCCAAACGGATCATCAGGATAATTATATATATATATATATATATATATATATATATATACACACACACACACACACACACTGGATAAATTGTCATAAATTAAGCAAAAATGAAAATAACACTGACATGTCATTTTAACAGATATTTACCAAAATTACAAAGCTATCTTGAAATACTAAAGAGTATATTTATTGAATAAAAGTTGCCATTGACTTCAACCACAGCCTCCAGATGACTGAAATCTCCTGCAACTCTTCTGGGCAGTCTCCTTGTTTAAGTTGGTGAACGCTGCCATAATCTTTGCCTTCAGATCATCTTTGGTGTTATAAGGAGTTTTGTTGGTCTCTCGGTCAACTGCACCCCACATACAACAAGCAAAGGGGTTGCAGTCTGTGGAGTTAGGTGGCCAGATTTAAGGGGTAAGGTGATCGCAAAAATTGTTTGATAGCTATAACTGGGTTCTCCTGCTTGTGTGGCATGGTGTAGAGTCCTGTTACCAGATATAGGGTCTTCCAGCAACCATCCCCTTGATCAAGACACTTGATGTAGGCCTCTGTATTGAGCTTGAGGCACTGTGCAGAGATGAATGGAGGTATAATGTCACCATAATTAGTGATCCCTCCAGACACCATCATAATCACCATTAGACTCATCCAACTGTTTCTGAATCCTCTGCACTGTCCTCAGATTGACATTCAAACACACTAAAATTTTGTATTGGAGCTACGAGAGCGAATGCCAAACAATACAGCATGCCGTTTCCTAATTTCTGGCAGAGTGAATTGTGTCATGGTGCTCTTTTTCACAGATGGAGATGGCGCCCAGCTGACTCTAGTATACTGTGCAGTCCACAAAATTAAAAATATAATATGGCGAGAATTTACCCATCACACACACTATATATAATAAATATGAATGTCAGTGTGTCACACTTTTTCAATTAAGGGACACAACTAACTTTCAATAGCTCAATATTACAGAAATCTTGGATTCTCAAGTTTTCATTACAGTGATTGTTTTTGGTGATATTTTGCAACAAACTTTTTTTGTACGATAATTTTTATAATTTGGAAATAAATTTGGGAATAATCAAAATTAAATTGTAGAATTGAGCAAAAGTCACCCATGAAATAAAAATAATTGTTTGTATGGAAAGTATGGATCTACTCACATCAAACTGTTTTTAAATTAAGTAGCGACAGAAGAATCATCACTGAACTTTTAAACAGTAAGCTTAAATATTAATGCAATACTTAAATGCAGCAATCAATTTTGATTTCTTCTGTAGTTTATTGTTGCCTATGGCATCGCAAAAAGAAATCTCCAACAAAGGACCAGACTGCAATCAAAAGAGCCAAGGCTGCATTGAGGAAAAGAAAGTCCCATGCAAATGAAAATCCAGATCAAACGGCAGCCAGGAGAGTTTCCAATGCTAAGAATATACAAATACTTAGGGACTCTCAAACTCCTCAACAAGCTGAAGTCCCAATCAAGATCTCTCTACAGGAGCTAGTATATATTTCTCTAAAGAATTAATGAACTTCTTTTATCAGGCATTTTTATTATTTCAAACATTTTTAGTGGTTATCCATGTTTGAAATAGATATAATTTTTTTTTTTTTAAATTTTAAACAGTGTATTACATCTATCGGCCGACACATAAGAAAATTTAAAGAAAATATGCTCTCCAACAGGGTTTGAACATGTGCCATACTTTGTAGAAGAAACCGTTTTATTTTGTGTGCTTTAGACTGCTTGAACACAGAGAGTGTCACAGCCCAGAAAGGTTCTATTTACCCTTTCTAAGGGATGCACATCCCCTCACTTATATTTTCTTTAAAGCCCCCTACCTGCTCAATTTCATATCTGAAATGTAAACAAAGCAATTTCTAAAGAGTTAATTGAATTATTTTTGATCTTACATTTTATTAATTCAAATGTTATTCTTAGTACTTATGTGTGCCGGCCAATAGATGTACACTTAATTGTTTTGTGAGCCCACTTCAGTATTTAATTTGGAAAAATGAGACTTACTTCCATATTAGCATAGTCTTTATGATCACAGGCAGCATTTGAGACAACATACAGGTATCCCTCACTTGTGTTGGTCACTATAAGATCATCATTTATTCCACCATCTTCATTAGTGAAAACAGTCAGAGAACCCATTCCTGGTTTTAGGATTTTAGCATTGACCACGGTCAAACTCTCAATGAAAGAAAGTTTGTCTTTTCCATGAATTTTAGTTTGCATCATATGAGACACATCAAAGATCCCTACATGATTCCGTACATGGTGATGAGAGTCTTGGATGCTGTCTTTGTATTGTACTGGCATTGACCAACCTCCAAATGGCACCATTTTTCCTCCATGTTCAATATGGAAGTCATACAGGAAGGTCTTACGTAAAGCCTGAAAAAAAATGAAAATCATAAACAGGAGATTACATCTGTTAAGAGATCAAGTTACTTGTATATAAACATATATATCTACCTTTAGTACATTACTATTAAATTGCTGTAACCTAGAAAAGGTTACTGAATAAGGAATAACCAAAACAGAGGTTGGAAATAAAATGGTTATCTTTATAACATCAACAAAATAAAATACTCACCAGTGATGTGAAGTAGGTAAACCACTGCTAGTAGTGGACTACTTACACAGCGTTTAACCCCCCCACACACACACACACTTACAAGAGTGTCCAACGTATTTATGAGAATTGGGGATATATCCCCCTTAGTGTTCATAGGTATGATATATAGCATAAATAGAGCAGCATTTCTCAACCATTTTACCCTTGTGGAACCATTGAAATAGTTTTCATACCTCAGGAAATCCCTGCATAAAATTATATACAGTGTAACCCGGATATATAAGAGAGTTGTCAGGACCGGAGAAGAAGTCTCTTATATCCGAGTTTGGTCTATTTTATATACATTAACACAGGCTCTAATTTGGGACCAGAGAAAATTTCTCTTATATCCGGGTTACACTGTACCACTATTGAGATCTTTTATATTTTTATTGCAGTTCATGTGGTAAATATATGAACAACATACATGCATCCTGTATTCAGTTGAGTCAATGATACAAATTCTCCACATACAGGTCTTGTTCTAGGATTATTATAATTTTAAATCATAATATAAGAGGTTGAAGACTTTATTATATACTAGCAAGCTTCACCCACCCGTTATCACTTTGCAAAGTTTGATATATTCACTACTTGAAATCTTTGAAACAAAAATTTTAAATGAAGATTTCATTCATAAATTGACTTGTTATAGTTAAGGAAAGTTTTACAAATAGATGCCAACTGTTTCGATATGAAAAATCAAAACAATCCTCGAATAAAAGAACAGTAATGAAAGACTTTTGATTAATGAAATAAACGTTTTTAAAATCAATATGCAAAATAGTTAAACTTGAAGAGCATTATTGCCAAGAAGTAGATAATATATAACACAGATATTGAGCTTTTACTGTGCAAACTTCATTCTCTCTTGAGTGGTATACACATTCTGATATTTCCCTGCCCCAGGGCTCCATCCCTGGGCAGGTGGTAAAAAAAAAACTAGTTTAGACCAGCTCTGACCAGCTTGGACAAGCTTAGACCAGCCCAAGTGAAAACAGTCGAGGCCCCCACATTAAAAACTGACCTTGTCAAGTAAATATCCTTACCTGCCCCAGGGTTCTGTCCCTGTGCTGGTGGTATCACGGCTACGACTAGCTTGGACCGGCTCTGACCAGCTTTGACCATCTATGACTAGCTTAGACCAGCAGCCCAAGTGAAAACACTCAGGTCCCCATGTTAAGATCTGACCTTGTGTCACAACCTGACTCAGTCTTCAATATCCTTACCGGTCATAGGAATCTGTCCCTGTGCTATGAATAGCTCTGATCAGCTTAGACAAGCTACGGCCAGTGGCCTGAGTGAAGACACTCGGGTCCCTACGTTAAAAACCAACCTTGTGTCACAACCAACTCAGTGTGTGTGTGTGTGTGTGAGGAGGGAATCAAGTAAATACAGTGTAAACTTCTTTCTAGAGTAGTTTGTAACACATTTATCATCTCTCAGTTGTGTGTCTGTCTTTGGGCAGAGTGCACTCAGTAGTGGCTTCGTCAAAAGGACAGAGTTGCAACTGAGGAAAATTATACTGAGGTGCCCAGCCCTAGGGAACAGCTGCCTGAGGCCACACCATCTCATTACACCAGAGATTGGGATTGGTGCTCACACTGAGGCCAGCGCAACTGACAGTTGTGGGAGTTTGAGCAATTTTTGCTCCCAGCTCGGATGTACACGCTCGGGTCCCCACATTAAACTGACCTTGTGTCAAATACCTAATTATTATAAAGTTGAGCTGAGGATTTTTAATCTCAGTATTCATGGAGAATTGAGCTCCAATTTCGCATTTATTCGTATGGATTCCATAATATAGGTTTTACTTAATTAACTATTATGTTTCTCTAACTCTTCAAATGTTGAATGTATAACTAATTCTAATTTCTATTTTACTATCTTTACACTCCCCTGTTCTCTCACCCATGAAATAAAAATAATTGTTTGTACAGAAAATAAAGATCTACGTACTTCAAATCAACTTTAAATTAAGTGGCATATGAAGAACTATCATCAAACTTTTAAAAGCTAAGCTTAAACATTAATTCAATACTTAAATGCAGCAATCTATTGAGTCCTTTGGTAGTTTATTGATGCCTATTGCATCTACTCTTCCCTAGCTATTATGATGATGGCCAAACCAAGAGTCCTCCACAGGAGCTAACTTAAATGCTGCAATTTTGATACAATAGGAAAAATAAGAGTTACTCCACTTGAACCATGAAATCAACGATACTGGCAATATAATATATTTTTAACCTCGCATAATCTGGCAACCCTGAATGAGCTCAATGAAAATCATTCCCTGTATCTAACTTTTCTAGGGCTTTTGAATTAGGTATGAATCATTGAAATCGAACCAGTGGGAGTGGAGGAGTTGCTTGGACATATGCACACACAAACACTATACTTTATATGTAAGATTAGAATTTAATTTGAGAACCACTACTACAATGTTTTACAAGTTCACATTTTAGCCCCTTTTCTAATCCTTAACCCTGCCCACAGCTTTCAAATCTGTGCTCCAAAAACCTTGATCCTTAGAGATAAGAATATATTTTGTGATGAATATGAGAGCTCTAAAATATAAAAAAGGAATTTGACCACCATTTCCCTGACCGTAGTGCCATAAAATCTGGTGGTAACGCTCACAACTTGTTGGACCCTTGCTTCCAAAAAGCAGCTCCCAAAACCTTGATTCTTATCAGAGATAAGAATATATTTTCTAACAAATGAAAGGGCCAGGAAATTGTACAGCAATTTTGGCAGGAAAAGTTCCTGATATTTCTGAGCCTTCAACTCTCCATAAATACGGAGAATGTGCACCTCTTTGGCAGTGAGCACTTGACATTGTCTGTGATAACATCAGGTTGGCGATAGAACACCAGTCATCTTCAGAACCTGTTTCAAGGAAGAGGATCTACCTGCTGGGCTGTAAAGACAGAACGTTGACTCACTACTAAAAAAACTAATTGCAATCTGCCTCCTTGCAAGTAGAAATTCCTGTCGTTGGCCTAAGAACTCACTCAACTACAAAATTCAGGTCTTTTGACAGTTTCCTCCTCAACAAGACCTCTGAAGAAATCTATGTAAGTGTTAAACCCTTAAGAAAAATCTACTTGCTTAAAAAACTTTTAGGTGCTCCGAGAAATATTTTGAGCAAACCTTTATATGAACATTTATTTTTCCCTTTAAGTTAAAGGAATTTTCTTTGCCCTTTTTTCTCTTTTATCTGTGTATATCCCTTTACCTTTTTTTTTGTATATGTAAATAAACATTTTCTTCTTTTGCTACACCCTGAGCAGGAGTTTGAATCTTTATTCTTATGCCTAAAAGAGAGAATTGTCCGTTCTAATCTTTCAAGCTGTTGTTGCTTTTATTAATTCTGCCACAGTTAACCTTAAGCCTTTCATGTGGGAAAATCTGGACAAATAATAACCAAGGATTTTCCAACAATATGCCTTATGTGTATCATAAAATTATGAATATAAAATTAAAAGTTACTCAAAAATGCATTAGCGTATTTATCACAGTTTCTCACAGAATCCCTAGTGACCTCTTTCTGAACTGTAGGGTTCTGAGAAACACTGGAATAGAGGTTAGTAAGGCAGTCTTACAAACTAGTACCATTGTAATGATGTTGGTTTTTCAGGAGTTTCAGAATGTTAGCAGATAGACAAACTTAGTAAATAGCATTATCTACCTACCTACCAAGACATACAATTTTATTTGTTTCATTTAATAACCTAGCATTAACCACTATTTTGAAACTTCTTTCACAGGTCACATTGCAATTGTACTTATATTGTCTGATCAGTGTATATATATATATATATATATAAAAAAATAGCATTTAGTGTTTTGTTTTAGTTTTCTTCCCCCAAAAGAGTAGAGGTCGGTTGAAAAGTTATCTTTGCCCTTGAGATAATTTGACAAAATATTTTGCAGCCTGGAAACAGTAGAATCTGTTTGATGATAACATCCCAAGATAGAGGTCAAACAGTGTGGCAGCTGATAGGTTACCAGAAAATAGGTCAATGGAAAAGTTTCAAAAGGGACAGACAATAACTTGTTAAATCTCACCAGTTTCAAGACTTTATCGACAAATTTAGGGAAATACAAAATCTAAATCATTAAATAAAAATAAGCATTATGGAAACTAATAGCATAATAAAATCAGTTGATATTAAATGCAGGATTGTCAAGTTAATTGCTGCTAAACTCAAAGAGAAAAACAATCAAAAGTGAATTATAATTGTGCGTGTTTATAGATATGTATATATAATTTTTTTTTTTTTATTCAGTTGACATAAAGAGCACAGTTTTGAAAAATTACAAAGTTTCTGGTTACTTTCTGTAGCCTTTGTCAGTTCTTGGTATTGAATATTTTTTTTGTGAACTGGGTTAAATTTCATATTCCAGTTTATGTTATCTATGTTTTTTTGTGGGGTGGGGGGACATATATCTATCTCATCTATGTACTGTATCCCTTCAGGACATTGGTGATCATGGCTCTCGACAACTTTCTATCTTGTGTGGCTCTTAGCAGTTTGTGCATCTTTGGGTTTCAACATTACTGGTCTCATCAGATGGTTTTTGGTAGTATATATATATATATATATACACACACACACACACACACACACAGGGTCAGTGAATACTACTATATTTGATTTTACCAGAAAACTGCAAATAACCACACAATTACTTTACAATAACTGCTCCCCAGGAGAACAGAAATTTTCAGATTTTGAAAGGGAGCTATTGATCAATACTGAGATGGGATGCA